GCTCATTTAATGTTGAATGTTTAGTTGGCCTTATAAATCCATTGATTCTCTTGTAGTTAATCGATCTAGTACAATCTAATTTTTTTTATGGGTAAATAGTCTTACATTCACAATAATAGGGAGGTAGATAATCGATTATGGCACATTCATCATGAACATTCGAAAAACATTTATGCACATCCCCCCACACCTAAGAGATACATTGTCCTCAATGTGGAAGATTAAAGTCAGGTTCACAAAGTGTTACCATATGGGTTTTGTGGATTCAGTAGGTGCACCAGTGTTGATCTTGATCTGCTGATAGTTATACATCTTTGAGTCGCACAAAATAAAAAGAGATAGAGGTTATAGGGAACAAGCAAAAAATATATAATTAAGTCTACTTCTAGTTATTTAAGTACTAAGAACGAAATTAGAAAAGAAAGAATTAAAATAAACATTGTTTAAACTTTAAGAAATAAATAGAAAAAAGATCGAAAAGGCCTTGGTTGCCTTGTACTCAACCCTCATTTTTGTTGGTGTCAAAGTCATCTTCTTCCTCTTCATCAAGCTCCATATCCTTTGAAAGAGATCATCGCCTTCAGATGGTGGTGTTCCTGCACCTAGCATTGAAAGGAAGTACCGACCACACCAGAGCAACCCGTGGTATTTGGTGAAGAAGAGAAGGAGGTTGAGGTACCTACTCCTCAGCCAAAGCTCATGGTAGAGGAGTATGTCCCTCAACTCCCTTACACTACTCGACTGGAAGTAGAGTTAGGAAAGTTCATGGCGATGTTGAAGCAGGTGCACATCAACCTCCCATTTGTGGAGGCCTTTACCTAGATGCCCAAATATGGCAAGTTCTTGAAGAGCATTCTCACCAACAAGAAAAACCTCAGGGATCTATCCACGGTGATGCTCAATAAGAATGTACCGCCCTCCTGCAGAACAAGCTACCAGAAAAGTGTAAAGATCCATAAAGTTTTACTATCCATTGCACCATTGGACCCATGCTTATAGGAAAATCCTTGGCAATTTCTTGTTCTAGGTAAATAGGCATCAAAGGAGCCATAGTTCGTGGAGCAGTTGACGGTGTTAGATGAAGTAGAGGTACACTATCATGAACCACCTGAAGAGTTGATTCAAAAGTCTAAAAGGATCACCACCTCCTTGGAAGAGCCACCAGAGTTGGAGGTTAAGCCTCTCCATAGTCAACCTCCTAGAGAGAGTGTCTGATATACAAGGAGCCGTAAGTGGTGATTCAAGACTTCAATTCTCAATTGGAGGCAAGATTTTGTGATTGTTCCTCTTTCTATCACTATGAAGTAGAACACATGCTCACTTGTAGGCCTGGAAGTTTGGTACCGGTATTTGGGATATATCGAATACCGTACCGAATTTGTCTATATTTGGTATTACCGAATACACGTATTATTTCTTGGGATTGGGATTGGGATTGAATTTCAATTGTAATTCGGTAATAGGGATTACAGGATTGGGATCGGTATATACCGAAATATAAGCTAGTGTGTATTTTATTCTGTCAACTAGACTCTCTCATTCACTACTACGCAACCCTCAACCACCAAGAGTGTCATTTAATTATACATAATTCATTCCATCTTTGTTTCACAACACAAAAGTCCACATCCAACTCAATTTTGACCTTCCAATTTAAGTCACTCTCATCTCTCACCTAATAACTTGTTATTTTCATAACACCAAAAAGCAAACACTAGTATTAGTCGACTCTCGGCCTTCAATTCGTCAAATTAAATATTACCACTGACAAAAACTTGAGATGTCACATCTTCTTCATTCTCCTTATCCATATCCTAATTCTAGGAAAACTCAAGACTCTTTGCTTAGTCTCTCTGCCCTAAATTAAACAATCAAATCTAATTTATATATTTAATTATTTATTTCAAATATAATTAATTGCGTATTTGATAATACCGATTGGGATACCGAAGTACCGATTGGGATACCGTAATATTTAGGTATTGGGATTGGGATACCGAAATTATTTAGGGATTGGGATTGGGATTGACTTTCGGGTATAATTCGGTATTCGGGATTTCGGTATTTGGTATTGGGATACGATACCCTACCGATTTCCACCCCTACTCACTTGGGTGTGTATAATTCTAGCTATGTATGTTAAGATTTGACGTTGAATTATTCTTGCGCTTATTACACTCTTGATTATATATTGAATTGAGTTATTTTTATAGAATTTGTTGGGTAATGATCAAACTCTCCAATTTGAGCTATTAACCTAAGGTAGAGAATATCACATTAGGTTGATTAGAGCATATATTAAATTCTTCATTGTGGTTCAATTGATCGAGCGTGATATTGGACGACAATATCATATTGGATTAAGATTCTTTAGAAAGAGTCCATATTGCATGCCCTAAGTGTTTTGTTTTGCCAAATGTGGAAACTCTACCACTGGATTGTTCATCCTAGGTGAGTTTGGATAACTCGAATAGGTATCTCAAGTGGGATTAGGACTCTTTGCGATATAAATCTTGAGTGTGCAAGTTAGGGTAGTCAATATCGACCTAATTTGTGGCCACAGGGAAGCACACTTGAGTAAACTTCTCTTAATACAATTCGGACCAACCTTTACAGAATTGCATATTAGTTGAGTGTTTAACAAACCTTGATTTGCTAGATAACGAATAGTTCATAAAGTAATAGTAGATTTGCTGCCCGGGTTGATAATTAAAGCTTACTTCCGCTATACTACACCTGATTGATGGTTACACTTGACCTTCAATTGGGATAGTAGTAAGACACGATTCAATTTTTTTTTTCAAACATAGACAACTAAGTGACTGCTTATTAGTTTTATAATCATTAAAAATAAAATGTCCCAATTATTGATGAAATGTTATTATAATTTCAATTATTAAATAATAAATTTGATGTTACCTTAATGTTATAGGCAATTATGCATTTCAAATAATTGTAAGAACCTAAGATAAACGTAATGAATAAGATATATCCAATGAACCATAAAAAAATATATACAATGTCAAATTATTGAGAAATGTTATTATAATTTCAATTATTAAATAATAAATTTGATGTTACCTTAATGTTATAGGCAATTATGCATTTCAAATAATTGTAAGAACCTAGGATAAACGTAATGAATATCCAATGAACCATAAAAAAATATATGTAAATGATAGTTCGGCCAACGGGTATGGCACTCAACTAGTATGTTATTTAGATCCAAAATAAATACAACATTTCACAAATAACACATTCATATATGTCCCTCAAGCTAACCGTTCGACAGCTTCCATGACTCCTTCCTACTGCTTTGCTTCAATAGTTTGACACCCACCCAGGTAACGGAATGGAACTCTGTGTTGGTTGCCTTGACATCATCTGTTCAACGACATTCTTCCTTAGTGGCTCCTCCTACTGGATGAGGTGCTAGATCTCCTTATATTTTGCATATCTCTACCTTAGTTCACTTTGATTATGTAACTAAGAATTCGGTTGGAGGTGGATTAGCTTTATCAATTTCTCTGGGAGCGATTTATTGAATTCACGTTTGGGCGTTTTTATGATTATATTGATCATGCCTTCATCATCAAGCTCTTTGACCTCAGGGATACTCTTCGATGGAGTCTCTCTCATTAGTCACTAACGTTTCGTTATGTTTGATGTGCATGTGATCATTCATATGATTATTTCAAATGATTCAACACGCGTCGGGTGAAAACCTCCTTGTCGAGGTCAACGTTCTTCAATCCTCTTTGTATTATGTCTCATTTCACTTCGCTCAGGATCGATATATTAGAAAGTCCATCTGGAGATAATAAAAAAAAGTCCTCATATCATTATATTGTTTGTTGGTCGGCCAATGACTCTTCATTTTTTCTGCTTTGTGACTTAGACCAGCAAATGTACTATAGCTTAGTTTGGCCCTGTTGTAGTTTTTGCAGAAGCAACTTCTGGCTGGAGCTTTTAGATAAGTATTTTTCAAAAAAAGCAGTTGAGTGTTTGGTTGTAAAACTATTAGAAGTGATTTTTAATATGAGAGGTTGTATAAAATGATTATAAAGTACTTATTAGATTTCATTTATTTTAAATAATATTATTTTATAATTTATTTTATTTTTAAAATGATATAAATGACGGAAAATTATATTTTCTGAAATAAAATTAAAATATGGTAAGGATAATCTTGTATTTTCAAAACAGTTTTTCGCAGAGCTTTATGTTAAACAAAAGCGTTTTTCGACTTTTCAAAAGCCGAACTTTTAGAAGTATTTGACCCTGCCTCAACTTTTGAAACCAAAAAACACTTATAAAAGCCGGACTATATGCTATATATCCGCATATCTTTCCATACCTTTGAAAATAAAAAAAAGCTAAGGGTGCATTTTCTTCTTTAGAGCATCTCCATTGGAATTGCAATTAGAATTGCATTATGACATGACATTCATTTGCAATTACATTATGCAATTGCATTGATGTAGATGACAATTACATCTTTGCAAGCTTGCATATAATGCAATTATGGAATGCAAGCCACATAATCTTTTTTATTATTAAATTATTCATTGATTTTATTATTTGAGTGTTTATGTTTTATTAAATTAAATAAAAAAAATTAGTTGCAATTGCAAGTTAATTGCATTGATGTGATGCAATGCAAGTAAGATGAGTTGGATTGCAAAAAAATAAAACAACAATAAAAAAACAAATACAATTGCAAATGCCATTGCACTATGCTCTTATGGGCTTGTAGAACCGAAGACCCAATGCAAAGCGCAAAGCAAATATAGAGAAAGAGTTTGTTACCGGAGGCCAGCTGGTCCAACAACCAACAATAATTGACAATTTTTCAGCCCAATTCTGTAACCCAATTTAGCACATAATAGCAGAAGCCCAAAACCCTAATAAACGATGGCCAAATTACCAAAAGCCACCCCCAAGGCTTCCCCGTCTCTCTTCTTTCAGATATAAATAAATAGTGAAAGTGTAACCGTAAACCCTAGGTCTAGTGCGCAGCTGCCGTCTTCACCGTACCGTTTCTTCCTCCGAGTTGTATCATTTTGAAGATGACGACCCGCTTCAAGAAGAACCGCAAGAAGAGAGGCCACGTCAGCGCCGGGCATGGTCGTATCGGGAAACACAGAAAGCATCCTGGTGGTCGTGGTAACGCCGGAGGTATGCACCACCACCGGATCCTCTTCGATAAGTACCATCCTGGTTACTTCGGCAAAGTCGGTATGAGGTATTTCCACAAGCTCAGGAACAGGTTCTATTGCCCCATCGTCAACATCGACAAGCTATGGTCCATGATTCCCCAGGAGGTGAAGGATAAGGCAGGAAAGGATGGCGCTCCGATGATCGATGTCACTCAGTTTGGTTACTTCAAGGTCCTTGGGAAGGGGGTTTTGCCTGAGAACCAGCCAATCGTGGTGAAAGCTAAGCTCGTGTCCAAGAACGCTGAGAAGAAGATTAAGGAAGCAGGCGGAGCGGTCCTTCTTACTGCCTAGAGGTCTTGTTTCCTTGGGGCTTTGTCATTTTTCACCAATATAACATTGAAACTGTTGGGAGAGTGGAGCTATTTTCGATTGTTATAAATGTTTTATCCCTTAGAGACCTGTGCTTTGATGGCTTTTGTTATGAATGCGGTTTTCTGTTTGTGCAACCTTAGATCTGTGTTTCAAATCTGCTTGCTACAGTGGCGATTTTCTTGATGTGGGTATGTGATTCAGATGTTGGAGAATGGGCTAATTTAGTTTTCCGACTGAAATTTTGTCTAGCATTTTTTCTTGGCTGAATGTTGTATTACTCTATGGTTTGTGGCTTGGCTGACTAGTTTGGCTTACTTGGTTTTTGGTGGCAAAATTGCTGCTTGCTGTAACCTGTGAATGACGAGCAACTGAGGTTGCTAAATACTTGTTGCAATAATTGGAAGGGTTATTATCTTTTTGGCTGTTGTGTCCTCTTCGTTCCATGCTTTTGCGTCGTGAATGTTATTTTTGGGCTAAGCCTTGGCAGTATGGTCGATTTGGTTGAAATGCCTGCCTTGTGTGTTTCTGTTGTCTATGATATTCAACTTTGCCAAGTTGTTGTGAGCCAATATTGTGCTACAGGGGATTGGTCAATATATGTTGCAGAGGATATGTGGTTCAGGAGGTTTTTCCTTCTCAGCGAGTGATTGTCTCTTGCCTCTCTCTCCGCATCTGGAATAAGAGGTGATGGTCTTCGTTTGTTGTGCGTCTTGGTTTGGTTGTTGCCTGAGTCGAATGTTTAGTAAGGATATAACATATATGTAGGTTATAAGGTGGAACTGTTGGATAGGTTTTGCTCTCTTGGCCTGGCCTTGCCTTTCTGTACTAGAAATCATGATCCACCCCTTTCTGTTTTGCTTCTGATATGGAGAGCCACGATAAGAATGAAGAAAAACTCGTGATTGCGTTAGGGGTACTGATACTATATCAAATGATTAATGATAACCCGAATCTCTGCGACAGGATTCTTCTTTGTTCGAAAAGAGCAGTCCACAGTGAAACTGTTGGATAGGTTTTGCTCTCTTGGCTTGGCCTTTCCTTTCTGTACTAGAAATCATGATCCACCCCTTTCTGTTTTGCTTCTGATATGGAGAGCCAGTCCACAGTTTTATAACATTTGATGGATGGGGTGTGAATTGGCTGATGGATGATGTCATGCAGTTTGCTGCTGTCGGGATGCTGTTTGACCAATTGTTTATTGGCCCGACTGTGTCACTTTTCGCTTGTTAGCGGTGCAACGAGCAAGGGTGTGATCCGAGAAGATGTTGCTCGAAGCTAGTTGAATAATTTGTTGTTCGAGAAGATGTTGTCGAAGCTTGTGCTTGGCATGGAAGTGATATCTGATACTTGGTGGCTAAAGTGATTTCCCTTCCCAGTTTTGGTTGGAAGCGCAAATTAGGAGGAAAAGGAAAATTTGGAGGGGAGGAAAAAGGAGGGCGAAAAATTAAAGAAAAATGTTGTTTTATGAAGGAAAATGGAGGGAAAAAGTACATTGAAAAGTGACAGATATCTTATTTTATTGACTGTATGGAATTATATATTTTATTAAAAAAAATATGTGAAAATGGATGTTATGAATACCAAATTTTTATATAACATGACCTTTAACCGGTGCGCCTATGGTGACATGCATGTCACCGTAACTTGCAATTTTCGGTCGACCTTAGTTAGGATTAGGTCGACCTAATATGTTGTTTTAGTGTAAAAACAATTCATGTTGCCTACTTTGGATATTAATATCTTACATTTGGCTCTATGGAATTTAGAGATTAATGGCTTGTTTTGAAGCTGAAGTGTCCCTCTACACATTGAAGTGCTTGGGAGCTGGATAGGAAGTCTAGAAGACCATTTTTGAACCTGATCAAAAGGCTATGTCAAAACTGGGAAACTGCCTGAAAATGTCCAAGTTTGGGAAAGTGTTTGTAAAGCCTACTTTGGAGCTCAATTCGAGAAGCATGGATGAGATTCGAGTCTAGGGGCCTCTAAGCTCTAACACATGAAAGTAGGTATATTTGTCTACAAATTCAAGGCATTGGATGAAATATTGAATATCTGGAAGGCTTCAAACAGAAGGCTCGAAGTTGCTACAAAATAAGCTTTCTTCTAGCACAAGACTGAAACGGCATATTAGGTCGACCTAATCCTATATAAGGTCGACCTAAAAGTGTAAGTTACGGTGACATGCATGTCACCATAGCAAAGTCCTGAACGTTTATTATAATCATTTTCACTTCTAACCTAACATTTTAGGTATTGCATAAAACAACATTACTTGTGTGATTTGTCTTAGATCAGTGTTGTATTCCGTTGATGGTCACATGTACAAATCTAGTATTTTGTTTTGGAGTACTATGTCAAAATGATAGAATTTTTAGTATCGATACATAATCAAAGCTAATTGCAATTCATAATTATGTTTGCAATTATGTTATTTTAATTATTGATAATGTAATAGTAAATTAATTATGAATAGTAAATTATGTGATAGTAAATTAATTTAATTATGTGTTGGAGCTATTTACATTGTTTATTAAATTGTGAATTAAATTTGTTCTTTCTTGCTAATTTTTTGTTCGAAATCAAAACTAGATTAGTTTGAAAAAAATTATTAACCTATTACTAAGATTGAGCTTACTATTTTGTGGATTCATCAACATAGCAACTACTAATCATGGTTGTCATGCTTGTGGTATACAAGTCGATAAAAGATTATATAAATTAATAGTACATAATGGGACTATTTGACTCGTCACGGACTACACCGCGGATTAAAAATCCCGACTAGAGCCCTAGTATAAACTCTAGTCGGGTGCTTTATAGGACAAGTATGTTTTAATTGTCAAACCCAGGCTGGTCCATGTACCCCTACTTCAATCGCATAAGTTGTTATCTAGCAATTGTGGTTGTCCCAATAAGAGAAGAATTCACCCGGATACTGCTCCTCCTAACTATACATCAAGATCGACCGAATATAATGCAATTGTGTGAAGGTGTGTTCATAACCGTTAAGAGGGCGCAACAAGTGAAGGACCTTCACTCTCTTGGTTGAAAGGAGAGCACAACAAATGAACTTAATCCGGACGGCAAAATAACAACCAATGACGGTGCTAAATCAAGGAGAGCACAACAAGTGAAGAAACTTCACTCTCTTGGGTGATAGGCCAAGGCACAACAAATGAAGCTAGCAAAGTAGCTCCCATGGACGCTCAATCAAGGGTTGCTAAGGCTCCTCCCTCATAACTTAATTCGGGTGGAAAGATAACAGCCAAACCAAAGTGCTAAATCAAAGTTTGAGGTTTGCCCTAATTCACCTTAGATAGGTGGCTCAAATGGCCCAGGAATCCAACTTATTAAAGCCTCTTAGTAAGAAGGGGATTTCCCTCTACCTATGTCAAATAGACATACCCTATGTTTGGCCCGACTTTTCGAAGTGTTTTTCGGTTTCAAAAGCTGAAGCACGGGCAAACACCTCTAAAAGCTCGGCTTTTGAAAAGCCGAAAAGCGTCTTTGTATAACATAAAAGCAGAAGCTCCGATTTGGAGCTTCTGCGAAAAGCTGTTTTGAAAATACAAGATTATCCTGACCATATTTTAATTTTATTTCAGAAAATATAATTTTCCTTCATGTATATCATTTTAAAAATAAAATAAATTATAAAATCATATTATTTAATATAAAAGAAATCTAACAAGATCCATTTTGACTACTTTTTATTGTTCAGAATTTTTATTCATATTTTATATTATAAGTCTTTTATAGTCATTTTACACAACCTCTCGTATTAAAAAACGCTTATAATAGTTTTACAGCCAAACACTCAACTGCTTTTTTTTGAAAAGTACTTATCTAAAAATTTCAGTCAGAAGCTGCTTTTGCAAAAGTTACAGCAGGGCCAAACTAAGCTATAGTAATGAGAAATGAGGAACACAACTCAAACATTCTAAAAAATACCTCAAACTTTGCATTAAACACAAACCCACACACATAGCATTCAATCCACAGTTCCATACAATCTATACATACAAAAGCTAGGGTTCACAATACCCAAGTGAAGAGGAACTCTACTTCATAGCTAAGCAAAGGAAAACAACAAAGAGGAAAGAAATAACCATGGTGGATGCTTGTCTTCCCTCCTTGTTGATGAGAATTCCCTTGAGAGATAAGAATCTTCACTCCTCTAGCTTGAAGTAGGCCCAAATCTGCTTCTTCTCTCCTAGTTGATCACTTTATCTCTCTAGATTTTGAAGAAGAAGACATTTCTCTCACTAGGGTTTACCCTTGGGGTTTCTTCAGCTGGAACCCTAGAAGGGAACCTAGAAAAACTCCACCAAACCCCAAGATCTAACCTCCTTTTCTCTCTCCCAACTGCCTTCTATTTATACAGTCTGACAGTCACTTTCGTGGTCTGAACATCACGACCATGACTTTGGAGCTCAAATCGTGATGTCGGACAAATACGCTGGAGGCTGCTGCCGTTTCAGTTCAACATTACGGTCTCTGGGAAATTATCACGGTCGGACGATCGTGATAATCTTCAGGCCCGCGAGATGCCAAAATTCTTCTATTTCCCATGATCTTCACGCCCTCAGGGAGATTGTTATGGTCTTGACTTTGGACTTTTCTTCACTTTTTGGTGCTTTTCGACCTCTAATAGTCCCGAAACTCGTCCTCGACCTTCCCACACGTTCTACGACATGAAATGTATATAAAATAGCACAACCTAGCCTTAAAAAGGCCGAGGGACGATGAAATGCAAAGTCAAACTATCAAGAAATGAGAGGTAAAATGTGTGTAATTAGCCCTGAATCACTCCCCCACTTGCGTAGAACAAAATATACTTTTTACATCCCACGTAACAGTTAACAAATTGATAATGGATTTAACTTAATTTTAAAAGTTTGGATTTCGTCAATATTAACAAATTTGCTAATATTGACGAACTACATCTCATAAAAATAGATAATGGATTGAACTTAATTTCAAAAAAAAATCCTTTTAATTCTCCCCCAGTCTTTTTTTTCACAAAAGATCACTCGGATTAACGAGAAAACAGGCAGATACAAGAATGTCAAATGGCCGAAAATAGGCAAGAAGTAAAATTGAACCCCCCCCCCCCCCACCCCCACCCCCACAAACGGGGAACAATGAAAGGCCTTTTTTTGCCACCAGATGGGCTACCCTGTTACAATTACGGCCTACAAACCTAACTTGAAAGGCCTCAAACTCACGTCGTAGGAGCAAAATCTCTTCCCAAATCACACCGCCAGATGCCACCTTATTCAAGACAGACTTTGCGTCACCCCCAAAACACACAGACCGCAACCCTCTAACAAGACACCAATGCATAGCATCCCATAGATCAAGCAACTTCACAAAAAATGGGTCATACACCCCATCGAAAAGAGACATTGTTGCTGCCCACCGCCCCAGAGGAATCCTGCAAAACCCATCCGCCAGGCCCATGGGAGCCCCTGGATGTAGCCCTTTCCACCAAAAGAACGAGCCGCCCCCCCCCCCCCCCCCCATGGAGGAGAGAGGAGAACCCCCTCTTAATCCCTGAACCGCTGCACAAGGCTGGGTTGGTTGATTCGACAAAGCATCCCATTCGACAACTTGCATCCTGAACTGTCTTCCACCGCCACCGGGCAATGAAAGAAAATATGTTCTAGAGACTCGATATCCCCCTCACACGTCGGGCACAAGTGAAGCCCTTGGATTCCCCTGGACTATAAGGCCTCCCCAGTAGGCAACACAAGACGGACCATTTGACAAATAAAGTATCTTAACTTAGGAGGAATAGGAGAATCCCAAATCTTCATCCATAATGACCTATCCCACGAGACAACCCCAGACTTAACACTGACTCGTTTTATCTCCTTAGATCCACCGCAAGATGATACTCAGACTTCACAGTATAGACACCAGTGCTCTTATACGACCAGACCAGCCGATCAGGGACCGGCCGAATAGGAAACGGAATTGCCTTTATATGACTCACCGTCTGATGATCAAAAAGTCTATAAAGCCAGTCGTAGCGCCACTGACCAGTGCCAGGACAAATTAGAGAAGCCACAGTGCCTTGCAATCTCTGATCCCTTCTCGCGGTTTCGGTGGGCATGGATGCAACGCTGGCACCCAATTATCCGTAAGGACCTCCACTCCTCCCCCTGATCCAATCTGCCACCTCAAACCCTTACTCAGCCATTCACGTCCCTTGAGAATCCCGCGCCAACCTTAAGATGGGAGTGAACCAGTCCTAGCTTCCAAAAAGGAGGAATTGGAATAGTACCTTTCCTTATAGATCCGCGCAAGAAGGGGCTCAGGTTCAGAAAGGAGTTTCCACGCCACTTCCCAAGCAAAGCCAAGTTAAACTCCTCAAACCTTCTAAAACTCATCCCCGCTTCATGTTTGCTTAAGCATAATGATTTTCACGCTACCCAGTGTATACGTCTCTCCCCATTTTGAAATCCCCACCAGAACCTAGCCAGTAAACAAGACATAACATGAATGGGAAGCGCATTTACCACTGCTTTAAGCAAGACCTCCTTTGCTTCCCAAGACAGGCATCTCTGCTTCCATCTTTGCAACTTAGCTGTCACTCGTTCTTCCACAAAGCGGAACGTGTGACTTTTGGAAAGCCCAATCAGAGAAGGGAGTCCCAGGTACTGATCCTACACTCCGATCGCACCCACCCCTAACATTTTCCCCATAGCCTATGCATCAGGATGCTTGACATTCCTACTAAAGCATACAGCTGACTTCTCCAGATTCACCTTCTGTCCACTAAGATCCTCATACTTCTTTAAGACCCCAACCAACGCCAAACAATCCTCTAGAGAGGCTTGCAAGAACAGGTAAGAATCATCAGCAAAGAACATGTGGGAAATGACGGGACATCTTGGGCTGATACGAAGACCAGTCAACTCACGCGTCAGCAACGCCTATTGCAGCAAAGCGGCAAATCCTTCCATACAAATGGCAAACAGAAGGGGAGATAACGGATCCCCCTTTCTTAAACCCCGAGACCCTTTAAAATACCCAAACGCCTGACCATTCATAAGAATTGAGAAAGTGGTAGAGGACATACAAGCCCTAAGCCATTTGATCCATTGCTCACTGAAACCAAGTTTCTCAAGCAACGCGAAAAGAAATGGCCATTCCACCCTATCATATGCCTTCTCCATATCCACCTTCAATGTCATAAACCCCTTTTTTCCTGTTCACTTGTTTTTCAGGTAATGCATCACTTCATGACCTATAAGCACATTTTCCATGATCTGTCTACCCCTGACAAACCCATTTTGCCCTGGCGAGACAATCGAAGGCAGATACCGTCCTAGTCGTTCAGCCAAAATCTTTGCAATTACCTTATAAACAAATTGGCAGAGACTAATCGGCCGAAGGTGCTTCATAGTCTCTACCTTGTTCACCTTTGGGACCAATGTCACCCAGGTATGATTACAATTCTTAAGAAGAGAACTCGTAGTGAAGAAGTGCGAGATAGCCTCTATGACATCCCCACCGACAATATCCCAAAAACATTGGAAAAACACACCGGTAAAGCCATCTGATCCTGGGGCTTGAGTTGCACCAATTTGAAAGACAGTACGGCGAATCTCTGCAGAAACCTGCGCCGTAAAGCGCTCATTCATTCTATCAGTAACCTTTCGACCAATAGGCAAAGCTGCTACTCTAGATCTAACCTCCTGCTCTTGAAGCTCACCTGTAGTGAAAAAATTCCTTATAGAACTCTTCTGCCACACCCGCAATTCCTTCCTCATCGGCGATCCAAGCCCCATTCCTGTCAAACAGACCATCAACCCAGTTTCTCCTTCCGCGCTCTTTGGTAACATTATGAAAGTAAGATGAATTTTGGTCCCCAAGCTGCCACCATGTCACCCTGGACTTCTGTTTCTAATAAACCTCCTCATTTTGCCAAGCAATATGCAGCTGCTACTCTATAGTACGGAACCTCTCCCAATCCACCATTGTCTCATCTCGCACTTCATCCCACTCCCTCTGCAGAGCACGAATCTGGCATTCTGAATTAGTTTTACCTTCCTTATTCTAGTCATATAACCAATGTCGAAGCTTCTTAAGTTTACACCACAACCGGAACATTGGGGAGCCCTCAAACCTCATCTCCCAAACACGCAGGACCATTTCCCCGAACTCTTAGTTTTCGCCCCAACGGGAATCAAATCGAAACAGCCTGTTAAATTTTTTCTTCAGCTCAACTGTTTTCAGAAATAAAACACGATGATCAGATTCCCAATCTGAAAGGTGATGTACCATCGTACCTAAAAGCACCCGCTACCATTCCCCAGACACAAGGACACGATCTAACCTCTCTTGAACCACACGATGAGGATCCCTTCTGTTTGTCCAAGTAAAAGTCGGACCCTTAAATCCCACATCTTGCAGAGCCAAGTCATCCACAAACTCCTGGAAATTGATTGAATGGGCTGGCTGCCAAGGAAGGCCACCCTCCTTTTTCACTAGAATGCAAGAGGGAATTGAAGTCACCTGCAATTATATAGGGAACTTGCAGCCGAATACAAAAACCTTGTATCCTTTGAAATTGAGTTGTCCGAACATTATATTCACAACTTAAATAATCGAACACAACCACATAATCAACATTCTCTTTATTCAACTTGAAAACGACAAAGAACGAATCACTACAAAGAACCGAGACCAAGACCTCGGTGGACCAACCTACAACCAAGCCGCCGGTAGAGTGGACGACATCAACAACAAAAAAGGAACGGAGAAAGAAAAGAGAGTGAGGAGAGAGATGGTGCATGATTAACAAAAGAAAAAAAAATAAGGCCAATTTTTTGTTTTTCCACCGATTTGGAGGGGTGGCTCCAACAATAGTTTCTATCCTCCATCCATTTTCCTCAACTGGTACTGTGCATCTCGTAAAAAATAGGGGAATGTACCTCGAAACCTCAACTTCTCCCCCACCCCACTTTCCTACGCAAATGAACAGAGTGTACCTCGAAACCTAAACTTCTCCCCCAACCCACTTTCCTACGGAAATGAACAGAGTGTACGAGATCTGGAAAACTTTTGTACATCCCCTGGCGACTTGCTATTTTGCAAGATGCCCGCTCTACTTGCTGCATAGATGAATAATTTAGTTTGGAGAGAGGAGGTTTCTGTTGATTGCGGACATCAAGATATCCTAGGTTGAAATCCGGACTCTTCACTAAGTTAAGGGTGTAGACACCCCATTTTGTCCTGGTTAATTACTCCACTAAAAATCCTAAGCTTAAACCATGCACCGTCGTGAGATGATTAGATTATCTATTGCGAATCCATAATATCAACGAGTGTATAATTTGTTTGAATTTGTTTGTAGTTGATCAAATAGGAGACTTTCGTCTGATCGGATATCTCAACTAAGCTTTTGACACACAAATAACAATAAAGAAGAAGAACGTTTTATTAAAATTATTACTAAATCACAATTACAATAACAATCACAAATAACAATCAATACAATGTCCTTTAAAGCAAGTCGTGGACCTGCAACCAAGAAGAAGACAGTGTCAGTTCAAGCCCAGATTCCAGCCTTTAGTCCATGTTCAAGCCCATGCCACAAGACCATATCCAACCCAAAGTCATTGCTTGATCAAGCCAAAATTCAAGCCCAGATTCCAGCCTTACCAGCCTAGAAGCGACCCAACCAATAGATCGGTCGAACCAAAACTAGTCCCGAACCCAGGCACCACCGCCTCATTTTTCTATTAAAGGAATCCCAATTTTCATCATTAGGGGACAACTTTCAGAGGAGAAACGTTGGGGAAATACTTTCACTTCTTTCTCGTCTTAGTTAGTTTAGAGTCTCTTTCGTTTTTAGGCCGTTCAGAAAAAGGGAAAACGTTGAAGAAAACAAAAACAGAGATACTAGGATTTCATTTTTTTTTTTTTTGGGTGAGACATAAAATTTGTTCAGCTCTTTTTCATCCAGGAGTCAAGATAGCTCAAGGGTCTCAAGTTCTCCTTTGTAACCTACAAACCAAGTTCCTCCATTTCTAATAACATAATACCTCTTTAATTACTTTTTTGCTTCTATATTATTGTTGTTATTACAAATAATATTATCATCCACAATCATCTACTCTTGCATACAAGGATTTTTTTGTAAGAAGAAAATTCAATGAACTCCAATCAAACTACAACATAACTAAACTGATTTTTAATGATCAAAATTAATTGATCCTAGATTACAAGTCTCATTCACTTTATAAGCTCGTTCATTCAATTTTATTTTACTTTCAATTACATTATTTACTTATTTCAAGCACTATGACTTTATTAACAATATTAACCCACTACAAGTAACTTTCTACTTATGAGTTAAGCTTAGTCTTACATATATTGCTACTTATTATGGTACAGTATAATCTCTTTAAATTAATAAACGATAAATTAATAATCTAGTATAAATTAATAATTTCTTCAGGCCCAACTTGGTCCATGTAAAAATGAGAAAATTTAATAAAATAATACTTTTTGAGAACCAACCTCCACATATATATATATATATATGGCAAAGGCTAGCGTACGCCTGGACGTACCCTAGCCTACCGTATGCCCGTTGAGTTTTGCTATTTAGACAATGAATTAACCGGAGTTTGGAGCATGATACTATACCCTAACCCTTAATGGATAAATATTTTTAACTCTATAAATTAATAATTGTAAAAATATATTTCATCTAGAAATTTATAATATAGCTAGGATAATCTAGAAAAATATGAATATATATTTGTGTATATATACTTGAACTTTCCTCATTGCATTCAAAGTCTCTGTTGTTGTCTTTTCTAATTGCATCAAGTATTTTTGAAGAGTCAATGCGGCTAAAAGTGCTTCCTTTCGCGTGATCAGTTCCAAAGGTGTTGAATCGTCATCTCCTTCATACTCAATTTAACCCCCAATGACATCAGCCATAATTTCTTCTAACGTTTGTGTCGCGATACATTCATCATTTTTACCTTGATACTCCAACAAATGACTTACGTCCATCTTGTTACGATAAATCATACCATTAATCATATCGTATGAACTTGAATTGTTTGAAAGATATAATGAACGTACATCATAAGAAAAATATCTTTAAATTAATAATTATTAATTTATCCATTATTTAATAACTACTATAAATCAATAATTTTCACGGTCCGGACTATATTAATTTATAGAAATTATAATGCATTTACTTATTGTCATTTATTACTCCCTTATATATTTTTAGTTCAATTCCTTTATTTTCTAGCACATAGATACAAATACCATCATCAATTGACTGAAATAAGAACATATTCAACAAATAATCCCAGACCCTCAAATCTGCCAAATTCACAAACAAATCACATATTTCCCAATTTTAAACCCACATAACCCCCCATTTCATAATAAAAAACGTCACATACACAACCATTTTCAAAAACCGAGATCCCTAAATCCAATTTAGATCCACACAACCAAAAATATTCCAAATTTAATGCCATATTTATAAAAATTTCCACATTCAAAATAGTCACCCACATAGATGAATTTCCAAAAATTCAGATCTATACATCCATTTCACCCCAAAACCTCTTTGAAGTTGAGGTTCTCGTCGATGAGGTGGAGTCTCAAGTCACGAGCATGTGGTGTGGCAGGTGATGAAGGCTCATGCACTTGATGCAGATGAAGTCTCCACCCTCGAGACCTCTTCTTCTCTTCTCTCGTCTGATTGCCCCAAACTAGATATGACAACATCGATTGGCCACCATCGCGTCCACCAAGAGAGACCGATGTCGATGTGGCCTTGGTCTGGCTAAGAGACACTGCAAATGGGTCCTTGCTAAGCAGTTCCTCGAAGTTTGGTGGAGATATCACATGTAACTCATGGCCGGTGCAAGCCTCTTCCACCTCAACTTCATCCTCGGCTTGGACGCAAATTGCTTCTTCAACCTCCCTTCCTTCTTCAAAATGTGGTATCACCCCTAGAAAAGGATCAAGAACTCCTTCTGCTTCACTTTCGTCATCCTCCGCAACTTCTTTCAGCACCCTTTCTTGATCTTCTTCCTCCAGCACGGATTGGAGAGCAAGTCGCCAAGCAATTTCTTTGATGAGATCATTTTGCATCTCCTCATTCATGCTCGCCTCTTCAAAGCTCAGTGTGGGATGTGGGAAGGTGTGGTCGGCTACGACAGGACATTTTTTATCATGATCATCACGGGAGCTCTCCGTGACAACTTTTGTCTGCTCCACAATGTCTTCATAGACTTCGTCTTCCTCCTCCTCTTCTAGTACAGTAGCAGAAGGGTGATCTTGAGCAGGCTGTGCATAAGATTTCTCAAGATCATCGAGGCTCTTCTTAATGCTCAAGAGGATCTCCTCTGTTTCACGATAGGCTTGGTTACAAATATCCATCTTGGAGTATGATCTCTCAGTGTCTCGAGCAAACTGCTACACGAGAAGCCTCAATTCATAGTTTGGATTTGGTCGTGGAGTGTAGCATGGCTCTGCAGAATAGCCCGTGAAGGCCGCCATGGCTAACTCTAGCTCCGATAGCCCTTCTGGTTGTGGGAGAAATTCTTCTTGATAAGGAGGTTGTTCTTGATATGCTCAGGGGTCTGATTGTTCTCCGTAGTAAGGGGGTTGGTACTAGAACCCAAATCCATAGTCTTCTCCTCCTTGATTTCTCCAGGAAGTCTCGGGGTAATACCACTCGGGTGGTGGTGGATACCCCCAATGGTTGGAGAAGCCATGATGATCCATGATTCATATCTGCACCAACAAAAAACACCTAAGTGAAAAGCAAGGGTGGAAAAGAAAAACAACAGAAAGAAAAGCTAAATTAACAAACTTCTGCCTTTCCTAATAATCTAGAAAGTCCCCGACAACGGCGCCAAAAACTTGATTCGCTATGACACAACTCCTAACAACGGCCAAGTGTAACCAATGAAAGGGACTGCAATATAGTTTCTCAAGTAATAAATATCGAATCCACGGGTCTCTAAAGTTACTATTACCCAGCTTCAGTTAATTATCTAGCAAACCAGAATAAGATAGAAGAATTAAAACTACTCTAGCAAACTATAGTTAAAATTCATCTAATTACAGGTTGGGAACTCACTTAGGTATGATTCCCCCTAGCCACTAGCCATATTAATGCACGACTAGTATCCGCCTGTGTTGAGAAATCCTCTATTTTTTCTTTATTTTGAAATTTTTTCTCTTCCTTCTCTCTGGGAATTTAGATATGATTTGGTCTTGCTCATCTTTGGATCATTGGAGCTTGGGGTGCCTCTTATGGAGATATGATGTTGCAGGTTTTGTTCCTTGTGGTGAATTTTTTCTCTTCGGCGATTGTTCTTTTTTTCTTCGGTTTCTTGGCTTTTTTTGTTTTCTGGGTTTTTTTGGTAGATCGTTGTTATTTAATGCCATGGATACCAATTCATAAATGTGTTTGGACCGATATCAAAATACTACCAAGTGTACTGATCGATATGAGTTAGCAAACCTAGAATACTAATTCATAAATGTATATGGACCGATGTCATGTATACTAGAATACTAATTCATCGTAGCGTCGTTACTAATTCATGTATACGGACCAATACCAAAATATTACCAAGTGTACTAATCGATATGAGTTAGCAAAACTTGAATACTAGTTGGTTTGGATGTGGAAATTAGTTCGTAATTGATTGGGTGGATACTAATTATGTGATTCATGAATACTCTATTGTTTTGTTTGGATATTAGTTCGTGAATGTGGAACAATAGTTAATTTCATGGTGGATATCAGTTAGCAAACCTTGAATACTAGTTGGTTTGATTGTGGATATTCGTTGGTAATTGATTGGTTATATACTAATTTCGTGAGTTGGATACTAGTTTTGTGATGTTTGGATACTAGTTTGTGCTATCTGAATACTAGTCTGTGCTCTCATGTATACTTTAGTACTACTTCATAAAAGCAACAGGCTTGGAAACTAGTATGTGCATTTTCGATATCAGTTTTTCTCAGCTGGATACAAGTTCTCTCGGCTGGCTTGGCTTGCAGCCATAAAGCTACAAAATTCACTTAAATGAGCCCTTCCTTGAGCCATGGAGCCCCAGTCGTTGGATCTTAACTTTTTAATGTGGTTTCCCATCTCCCCCTATGAGTATATACTCACTAAAGGCTTGTGAGCATCATAACTAGGTTGACATATCACACACACACACGCACCAGCGAGTTGGTTTAGTTAAGACTATTACCTTTTTGGAGGAATTCTGAATTAATTATCTGATTCACTTTCATATTGAGAAATTTATGAAAGATAATTAATATCATAACGCGTTTTAGTTACAACGATATTTTAAGGGTTTTTAGCTCCTATAAACCAGTTGACTCCCAGGCCTCTAGACATACGATTATGAGAGCATAAACAAAAAGAGAGTGGGATTTAGAGAGCTCCTAATTCTCACAAGTAGAGAGTAACAAAGATTGGTTATTTTTATCCTGGAGGTGACTAAATGATAGTTAGTCATGCGAATTGTGAGGCAATGCAACGAACATCTTAGAGAGAGTGATCTAGTCCGCAACTTAGCCATAATCAATAGCTTTAGTTTCACTTGTTTGTTTTCTAACAGAAACTCATGCAACTGCTTCTCCCTCCATCAACGTCTCCCATGCCCAAATCTTCGTCGACTTGACCATGTATGCTTCTCCACCATTCATCAACCGATTCCCTCGGGCGGTAACCCCACGCCCACCAAAATCCTACATCAACATAACTCTTTCAGTGGCTGTAGGTGTGGATAGTTTTGAAAGCTATAATAAATTATAATTAATAGATAGAACAATTATCCTACTAGGACGAAATTTAGTTATGGAAGTAATTATCTTTCTAATTAAATGAGACTTATTCCCCACGAAAGAGGGAATATTCTGGATTTTTGCTCCTATAAATAGGGCACTCGCCAGACCGTCTAAACACAATACGAAGAGCAGAAACACGAGAGAGAAAGAGAGAGAGAGAGATTCGGAAAGCTCTAGTTTTGCACAATACCGTCGAGCAAACAAAAAGAGTGGCTATTTTATCCTTGAGGTTATCCGTATGATAGTCTACTATGCGCAATATGAGGCAGTGCCGCGAACGTTTTTGTTTTTTGGCGAGAAAACTTGCGTCGAATCGAATTGATTGCGCCTTGACTTCTTTAGACAACGATCACTAAACACGGTTCACACCTCTTCAAACACAGTTAGAACGAGGGTGTTCGATGTTTACACGACTCTCGAGACAAATCTACATTAAGTTACTCTTACTCCTATAGAGGTTCTGAGAGAGCTCCAGATCTACGACTACTGATAAAAATTGCAGAGGAAAGATAAAATTGATAAAACTTGACAAGTGGTGTCGAGTGGTAATTTTTTGCGAACCTTTCTCCGTCGTAGAAAAACCATCTGAGAGTAAATTCCAGAAAGAACTGCTCCCCTATTTCCTCGGACGTGGCTGACGTGTCCTTGCACGTGGGACGATCGGCAGTTGCTCTGTTAATCGCCTGCTCTTTAAGAACTGCTCCCCTATTTCCTCGGACGTGGCTGACGTGTCCTTGCACGTGGGACGATCGGCAGTTGCTCTGTTAACCTCCTGTCTTTATCTTGTTACGTCGGGCTCTAAATTTGACGCCAACGTGGTCTAGATCTCGCGACCACATCGGGCTCTAACTTTGACGCCAACGTGGTCTAAATCTCGCGATCATGTCAGGCTCTAGATTTGACGCCAACGCGGTCTAGATCTCGGGACCACGTCGGGCTACCCAACTGGCGACGAGACTAGCTCCTTCTTGGAGACTTAGTGATTTGGGCTTAAAAGCTAGTATCATGAGGCCCAGTTCAAATAACATTAATTGTCATTAATGATCTAGCCTTATAAATACAGTTAATGCTTTGTAAATAATCAATGTAGTACAAGATTATTTTTTGGTTGTAATTTGTAAACAGTTTTAAAGGGAGCGACTTAATTCACGACTCAACCAAATCGGTAACCCTCAAGTTTGTGTTCAAAGTTTCTAATAGTGTCTTCTTCCGGCATCCACACCTCTCTTCGCCTAGTTCTTCAAACGACTTAAACCAGTCTACTTCTCCATTGTTCACCGATCGGTTCCCTCCAGTGCGACCCCGGGCCGACCAAAATCCTTCATCAATAAAATCATGTTGAGGCTTCTCCCTACAACCGTATCTTCCTCCATCCAGCTCTTCCTCCCGACTTGACCAAACCTGCTTCTCCACAACCACCATTCGCCAACCTATTCGTCGCTTCATGTCATTGGTGGCATGGAAATGGACGAGTTTTGTTAATCCAAAGTTAAGTGGAAAGGTGGAAGGTGTTGTCTGCTAAAATCAATTGAAACTCGTTCTTTATTGTTGGATGGGAAATTTTACAATGCTATATAGTATTGGTGCTATAGGTTTTTGCTTTTATGGTACAACTTAAAATTGTACATTTATGTTATGGTACAACTTTAGATTGTACCTATACTTTTTGTACATATTCTTTTATGGTACTACTTGAACTTGTACCTTTATGTGATGGTACAACTTCAAGTTGTAAAGTTGTACCATAACATAATTATACAAATTGCTTTATGGTGCAACCTAAACTTATACATTTAATGTTATGGTACAATTTTGAGTTGTACATTAAAGCACCAATACTATATAGCATAGTAGAAGTGCTCATTGTTGGATACCACAAAAGTGGTTATTGAATATTGGTTTTGGTTGATTGTACTGGAAACGAGCAATGGAGAAAGAGTTATGCTACCTCTACAATTCCAGTTTGTCATTCGTTTCGTGGTGCCTAGGAGGGGCGGAGCTACAGTGATGGTGGGGTAGGCCCCGGCCCAATCGGAAATTGTTTCGGCCCCTAAGACCTTTACGATATTTAGAAAAATATTTATAAGTACATATCGTTAAGTACATTGCGTAATTCAAAAGTAATATAGTCTGATGGTAAACATGCTTAACTTTTAATTTAGGGTAAATACAATTTAATATCTAAACCTTTAATTTTAAACAATATAATAGTCAAACCTTTTCGAAAACAATATAATATCCAAATCGTCAACTTTCCGTTCGTTTGACCGTTAGTTGACACTTCAAAAAAGTTCGAAGTACGACACTTCATCAATATCCATCGATATCTTCTCTGAAAAACCACCAACATATCATGGTTTCAAACTCGAGAAGTCCATGACTCCACCATGATGGTATAGAATATCTAAATATTCATTCATCTGCAATGCCAAAACAAGAAAACAAAGTTGTATTGTGACAATTTCCCCTAAATAAAGCTTTTTTGAAGTGTCAACCAACGGTCAAACGGACGGAAAGTTGACGATTTGGATATTAGATTGTTTTCGAAAAGGTTTGGCTATTATATTGTTTAAAATGAAAGGTTTGGATATTAAATTGTATTTACCCTTTAATTTAAAGGACACTGGTTCAATTCCCAATTGTCGTATGTTTGACTTCATTATTAATAACCACTTTGAGAAAAATCTCTTCTATATATACTAATATTTTGCTTTTGTTTTATGTTTTGCTTTTTACTTTACTGACTTCATTATTAATAACCACTTTGAGAAAAATCCCTTCTATGTATACTAATATTTTGCTTTTGTTTTGCTTTTTACTTTACTGACTTCAAGACTTCATTATTAATAACCACTTTGAGAAAAATCCCTTCTATATATCCTAATATTTTGCTTTTGTTTTTTACTTTACCCACTTCAAGACTTCATCATTTTAATTCCCATCTATAATTCCTTAAAACCAAAAGAAATCACTTTGAGAAAAATCTCTTCTACATATTCTTAAAATCAAACCGAACTTTTGACTTTGAGACTTCATTATTTTAATTCCCACATATATTTCCTTAAACCAAACAACGAAAAAACCACCCCTTTCATACCTTTTTAATACTTTTATTGAGTGATTTGTCATAAGTAATTATTACTTGATTTAGATTTAATTATTTTTTGGTCCACCCGGTTTTGAAATTTTGGCTCCGCCCCTGGTGCTTATATAATTCCATTCAAGTTTGACGGAGGGAAAAACTTGGCTAGGTCAACCAGGAGATACACAATGACAAGACATGTGAATTGGTGCAAGAGGTTTGTCGGCAGTCAACTATTCTCCTGACATTGGGAGTGCGGATCCCATGACTAGGGATGCTTAGTCACTTGGCTAAGTCCCTCCCAGCCCTTAGATCTTGATACAACAATATGACGGTTAAAAAGTGGGAATGGCTATTTAATTAATGACATGGTAGTTTGGGTATTATGGAAAATTACGAAGTATACAAACCGGAATTAAAATCAGTACAAACCATACAAACAGTACAAACTACAACGACAAAACATACAAGCAGATTTACAAAAATTACAGACGTATGAACTGTACAAACTAGACCGACAAACAATACAAACCATACAAAAAAGAAAAAACAATCGGGTTGACTTTGGATGCTCCATCCCTCCCTCATCTCAAAGTCAACCCGGTTGTTTTTTAGACATACAAACATTACGAACATGGTGGACAAAAGTGACAAAGTACACCGACAATCCATACAAACTGGAAAAAACACTAGGGTTGACTTTGGAGGCTCCATCCCTATATAGAGGAGTTCCATCCAAAAGTCAACCATGTTGTTTTTAAGACATAAAAAACATTACAGACATGGTTGACAAAAATGATAAACATGGTGCAAAAAAATAACAAAGTTTACGAACATTACAAAAGAAACCGACAAACATTACAAAATAACAAAGCGTACAAACATTACAAAATAAACCGACAAAAAATCTCTCTCTCTCCCCCTCCCCCCGGGAAATTAGAAACGGTGGTAGCTGTTGGGGACAGAAAACCCCCACCGCCTGGAAATTAAGAAAGGCGACAAAATCCCAGGACCGGCCGTCGCGGGCGGGGAGGGCAAAGGGGCAACGCTTTTTTTATTTTAATTGTTAAATAAATAAATTACATAATTATCACCTTACCATTCATTAAACTAGATAAATCTGAACCATTAGATTTTAATTAATGATTGTGATTGGCTTAGTCATATGATTAAGGGACCCCCTTAGTCACCTTATCGCAGCCCTGACATTGAGGGCCTACCAGAGGGAGAGAGTGGAGGATTCTAGAATGTGAGGAGAAGGAATAATCTAAAATAAAATTATGGTTGTTTTTTAACCTTTTCTACTTGAAAAATAAAATAAGAATTACATAATAATTTAAGTGACTGGGTAATTGGATATTTTGCGTACCCAATTCCTAGGATTTATTGGTAATGTTAATAGAAGGGAATATTCTGTACAAGTTTAAAGTTGAAGAATACATTTGTGGAAAAAAAATAGTAGAATGACATATTTGTTAACTTGCAATAATAAAATAATAAATAGGCTAAATACTAATTGTTAGGAAGCCTCGTGAGATTCCATCGTCTACACCGTCGAAGTAGCTCTCGTCGTTTGATGCCATCATCGGATCTGGCTACTGGTGGATTGACTTCCTCTAACCGTCATGGTGGTGGTGGATTGGCCTCCCACTCCTTCGATCCTCCCATTGCTCCTTGCGATGGCGGACCAGAGTTTCAACAAAATAAAGGAAATTTGATTACCAAGAAAAAGGAAATTAAATGCAAGTGACAGGGAACAAAAAAATTCTCGCCCTTTACGCTTGTGCTTCCTTCTCTTGCACCTGAGATCCGATTCTCCGCTCTCTCGAACCCTAAGGGACAAAAATTCCCCACCCCTTTCCATCTCGGCTTCTTAAACCCAAAATTTAGGGGAACCAGCCAAATGGACCAGAAGCAACGGGCCGATGTTGAAGAAGACCCGGTGGCGGAGGAGCAAGATCGGAGCAGCAAGAGCAGCGGCGAGTACACGTCCGAGGATGCAGCCTAGTTATTCTGCTAACTGCATAATTTGTTAGTATATACTAACTAATATCCAAAATGTATAAACTAGTATCCAAGTTTGCTGATTTTGCTAAAATATTTAGATAACACATACTAGTATTCAAAACATCACAAACTAGTATCCAAATAGCATATACCAACTAACATACACAATCAACCAACTATTATTCAATATGGATACTCTTATGTGTTATCTGTATACTAATTATGTGTTGTGGATACTATTTTATGTTGTCATATATTAGTTTGTAAGTTTGGGATAATAGTTCATTCATGGTGGATATCAGTTAGCAAACCTTGAATACTAGTCTGTGCTCTCTGGATATTTTAGTACTTGGATACTAGTTCATGTATTTTGGATATCAGTTAGTATCTGCTAACCAATCCTCAAGTTAGCATCACTACAATAAAATTAGGTTTCGGAGACGGAGGTTATTTGCATCTAAATATTACTTATTTGCTTCTGTAGTCTTTCAATGCAAATTTGTTATTTGAATTATTTGTCTCTGTTTCGAATTCCTTTTGGAAACAAATATAGATGCAAATGGTATTTGTCTCTAATAATAAAATTCGAGATAGATATTCTTGTTTTCGAATCATCTATATTTGCTTCTAAAAAATTTTAAAGAGACATAAATATTTGTCTCCAATAGATATATTTAGAAACAAATATTTTTGTTTGCAATATTAGGCAAATATATTTGTTTTTTTAAAGAACTTTATGGAGCCATACATAGCTTCTCATAAATATATTTTGAGAGAAATAATATTGCTAGAATTTCTTCTTTTAGAAGCATAAATGTTTGGCGTTTCTATAAATACATAAAATGAAAAGTCTTATTTACGATGGAAATACAAACATACTTAGAATATAAATAAAATTATTTTTATTTATTTTTCAGCAGGTTTGTTCACCGCAAAACAATGAACATGATCATGGAAATAAGAAAGGAGGACAAATAAAACTACTATGTTACAATAAGGAATTAACAAAAACAACAGCCTTCGTATTAGCTCGCTCTCGTTGACAACATCCTTCTTATTAGCTCCGTACTTGCAATTTGGACTTGGAGTTGGAGTTCTATCATCTATGGTGGCAATACACAACCTGAATGAACGAAATTGAACCCAAATCAATAAGCAGAGAAAATATCCCTAAAAACAATAACTGAGAATCTAGAACAATGAGCACATATCAAGATTGAGAGTTTTGATTATGATGCTGAACTGGAACAGAGAAATAGAAAACAGGAGACTTTTGATTTCTTACCGAACGAAGCCAGGTCGCTCGCTGTCGCCGGGGTTACACCCGATCCGGCCCACTTCAATCAGATCTGGCGATTGGAACGGGCTGCAACAGATCTGGAAATGAGAAGAAAAAAAGCATCACTAAAATTGAAACTAAGAAACAAATCAAAAGTGATTAAAGCATATCTCCAAACAGA